TGACTGAAATCGATAGTATGGAAAGGTGTTTTTTTTTCTCTAAAGTACTTTCATTTGAGGAAAAAATGATTTTAGAGACAAAAAGCATTCTTTCAAAGCATTCTCAACAAATTTTTTTGATAGTAGAGTGGAGGGTAAGGTATGACTTTGTTTTTGTTTCAAGTGTAGATTGTATATAAATAAAAAGAGTTATGAGTATTGGAAGTTTAGGGGATTTTCACATGTACTAAAAGTTTTCTTTTAGAAAAATTTGTACATGGTAGATTACTTTTTGTGTATATGGAATAAGCACATGAAAATATGTGTGAATGTGTTTTGAAAAGTAAAATATGTGTTAGATAAAATTTCACTTAGAAACCACGTCAAGAGAAAAAATTATGTTGTTTTCAAGTTTAGGTATTCAAAATCAGGAAAAGATATCAAAACTTTTGGATTTCTTTTTTTGCAGTTTTTGTCATGTAGAGAGCGTTGTTTTTGGAAGAAACTTTTTGAGTGTTCTCACCTTATGAAATTGCCGTATTAATGTAATGGGTTTTTTTTACTAGCAGTCACAGGACTGACGCATTCTTGAGCAACTCTTTTGCCTCAAACAACGCGTGCGTGTGCTATATTGTTGTAGGTGCTAGCTTTGAGACTAGTTTCTGTCTTTAATTTGTCTTGTAATTCCTTGCAATTTTTTTCCCAAATTGCATGCAAGCCAAAAACAAAACTAAAACAAGATTTAGCTTCACCATTGCTCTTCATGCAAAAGGTATGGACTAAATCCAGGTTGCATCATGAACCAAATGTTGGCAATAGCAGTTTTTTGATCAGGGTCTTGGAAAGGTTAAAAGTCATGCTTTTTAATATGATTTTGACATCACATGATTATTTAAAAAAAGAAATCATGAATCTCATTAAAATACATCTAATAATGTAATCTGTCATCAACGTTGGGCGTGATGGAAAAATTGTTAAAACTTAATCGACTCTAGGAGAAAAATTAATTTGGATGGATTTACACCATGAACTCTAAGACAGCGTCAACCTCTTTTCATAATCAACTTTCGATGAAGTTGAAATAGAGATTCAGTATTAGCATGTAGCTATTTGACTGAGGTCAAAAAACCTATTCGATGTACTTGAGTTCCATAATTTTTGTCTCCATCTCACAAGACATGTTGAATTGTGTTAAAACCATCTAGGTTTTTTTTTCAACATTCTATTAATACTATTTCATGTATCTATGTGCATCTATTGTCTTTGTTCTCAATTTTATCATATGAATCTTTTGTCCGAATATTTCATTATTTTTTTTCTTTTTTTGATAGAGATATTTTTTATTTTTTATTACAATTTGGATCAATCATGATTTTTGAGATCTTAGAAAACTTTGACAATCTATTTGCAAAAAATTTAGAAAAAATATCTCAAATCGAAGATTTCAATTCGATGAGCTATAAGCTTAAAAATCAAAAAGTTGAAGAAATATAGATTTTTGTATAAGAGTTAAAAGGCAAAAAGTAAAATCAAAACCTTGGCGCATGTTGAATAACTTGATTTTGATTTTGATTAAATTATTATTATAAAAAATCAAATAAAAAATTTTAAATGAAAAATATAAATACAGAGATTTATTAAAAATAGGCTTGATAATTGATTCAATAACCGTGCGCTTAGATATTTTTAATGTTAATGTAACATCATTTTCTGCAATTTCTATTTTTTCGCTTTAATCATAAAAACTACAAATTTTTTTTATGAGTTTGTAATGAGTCATTTTTGCATTTTCTGTTCAAAGTCTACCCGCTTGCACCATTTTTGTATAAAATGCTTGATTGTAGAAAAGTCATTGTCATCTAGCTATAACTTTAGTTCACAGTGTCTCTTGTAGACCTTGAAAAAATCATATTTCTGATAACGGTCAGGCTATAATATCATTTTAAGTTTTGATTGATATTCATGATTACAAACATTGTGTATGAACTAAATATTTCACTTCAACAAGAGCATATGCATGAGAACTTGATAATCATGAACTTAAAAAGCTATTAATCTTGTATTGCAAAGAGCTTTTGACAGCTTATATTTTGTTAGAAATTTATTTGATTGAGTATTTTGGTTATATTTTCTGTATAAATCAAATCAACTAAAACTTTAGAGGATTGTTTCAACATTTTTGAACTAAAATTCATACAAATCATTATCACTTGGAAGTTTGTTTCTATAAATTTTTTTATGTTCATACAAACACATGATATGTCATTTACAAAAATGTGAGTCCAGTGTATTAAATCATACATATCATTGTATCAACTCAAAAAAATAATCAAATTTCCTGCCTCAATGTTGACCTTTAATAGACACATATCATCACAAGCAAAATAGATTCATGATTATAAAAACGTTATGAGTTTATTTTTTACTTATTACTTCTAGCTAATAAAACTTGATAGAGTAATCATCAAATTATTATTATTTCTATAAAATCTAGATCAATCAATCAATCATGGTTTAAATTTTTTATTCATATGAACATTTTTACATAGAAAATCATTACAAAAGTTAATCAATATTTAGATGAGCATTTAGAAAGTAGGGTATTTTCAATATATCATTTTCAATATAATATTATATATTGCATAGTTTGATGTTTGCTATATATGTATTTAATTAAGTTTGTAATTAATATTGATACATCTCCAATCCATATGATCATAGTCATATCATTGTTCTATATCAAAATTAGTGATGTAGATGATGATGAAGTTATAATTTCTTATATTTTTTCGAATGAATATGTAAGGAGTGAATAAAATCCAATCAATTTTATCTTCAAAATATAAGTCTTAATGTTGAGTGTTATTTTTTTCCTTATTGATTTTACAAATTCATTTCAACATGCACACAATTACTAGTTGTATTTATAAAGAGCATATGAAGTAAAAAATTAATCATATTAAAAAATCATAATATTATTTAAAATTTGTGAATAGCTTATGAATCAAAGGAGCAGCTTTTTTTTTTAATTTTTCAAACATGTAAAACTTTTTTTTGAATTTTTGTGCAAATTTTTTAAAGTTTTAATAACTCAAAGAAGGTGTTCATAATTACACCCTAATAAGAATGAATGGGGTAATTTTAATTTCCAGATAAGTCAATTCTAACTCAATCTAGATTGTTACATGTTGTCAAGATTGGCAAAAATTCAGACAAACATAGTCATCTTTTTACAAGACTCCAATCTTTATAGTCATTTTGAAGTCAACACTCTGAAATCGCTAAGAAAAAAACAGGAAAACAATCTTCAATCTTGATGCCTTTTTGATTATGATTTTCTAACACAAATGTTCATCCTCAATAATCGTCTCGTGTGTTCAATTGCCATGATCTTGACGACATCACTCCTTTATATAGAATTTCAGGAGAACTGATTGTCAAAGTATGATGAAATACTCACACTCATACATTAGATACCTGGATTCTTCACTGGATTTTAAAACCGTAGAACAGTTCTTCGAAATGTCATGATATTGTTTCTTATTAACGCCAATCGCAGTCACATAATGCGACTGGCTATCACTTTTTCTAAAAAACCAAAAGTTATCCGATAAAATCCTTAAATATGATTCCAAAGAAGACAATTAAGAACATGTTTCTACTAGTGATGATCTGTTATCAATTTTCATTATAAATATTTATAATAAAAATATTGTGATGTTTTAAATTTTTTTTTTATAATGATTGTGGGTCATGCAGTCATGTAAACATTGATAATATATAAATCAAAATTTATAGACTTTTTGATAAGAGTTGAAATATATCTCATACAAATTTATTTAAGATAACTATATATGTGCTTGTTGTTTAAGATGATTACATATTCTATATTTGACATCATAGGTTGAGAAGTGTAGATGTTTGTAATGCTAATGTGAAAATTTCCTTCATATTGGAGATATCTTTGATGTTACTGACCATTACAAAGTATAGACGGCAAAAATGTGATTTTGATTTTCATGTGCAAGTTGATGCATCATGTCACAGTGAACTACAATTGTTAATGTAAAATAATCGGATGTCAGAGTAGGTTCAATGCAAATGAGCGTTTTAAAGAGTCATGAATTAAATGTTAAACAATTTTAGACTAAAATCTTTTTTGAAATCAACTTAAGTTGGTGTTTGGTGAAGTATACATCGTTCTAATTGAAGGAAATCTATGTATTTTGTGATGTAACTTCTGAAATAGTACTTTGTGAATACAAGTGATGGTATATGTTTGGTTTCAGATAATAGCTATAGTATGATACGTGATTGAAAATCGAAAATCTAGAGATAATTTTAACCAATTATAATTCTCAAATAAGCCACATTAATTTAAAATCATGGACAATGCTTGCATAAGCATGAAATTCGGCATCGTTTGTATGCCTCATCTTGTTAGTCATCTATACATTTTGTTACCTAATACAGCTTCATCCTCGCGAAGGTAGTGTGCCAAAGCATTTGTCTCTATAACGCTAATTGTTGTAACATCGGTGGGAAGCAACACAGTCCACTGCTATAAAACATGATGCTCTTGTCAACGAGGACATAGCGGAGCGCTAAACACGTGAGTGATAGATATCACGCTGTTACATTGCATACACATTTATTATTATATTCACAGTAACCATTTTCTGTTCACTGATTTCTCCAAAATGGACTGCTGTTTGTGTTGCTGGTTTCTGGTCGGAGTACAAGCATAACGTGCGTGGATTCTTAAGGTACTGACTCTGTAGAACCCAATATATACAAAAGTCGCACTGCCCCATTTTGTATTACGGAGAAAATGCATTATTATCTCATCCTTCTGCCACTGAGTGGCAAAATGTTCCTCGAGTGCACTTGTTGCTCGTAAGCTCAAACAATGATTTGTTATTTAAGTGCCAATATTCAGTTAACCGAAGTTGGACATATCCATCCTCAGGACAAAGTTGAATCGCAGCAGCAGCAGCTTGATCAGATGCAGCAGGTAATTAAGTTCTGTGGAGCAGGACACAACGTCACGAGCTGGCCTTCCTCTCGCAGCTCCTACTTCTGATTCCATCCGTGGACGGGAACGTCGGAGAGTTGCGATATAAATTGCTCGTGTACTCGCGGGCACGCACGGAGTACTGCGCGTGTGCGTGGGGTGAGCAGATGGGCTACGTATAAATCGCCTGGGATCGACTTCTGTGGCTTTCATCCCATCTCTCCCCCTCGGGCGCTCACTCTCTCGCTCTCCCTGATCACTGTGCTGCTTGTCCCGGGACGAGCATTTCATTCGCAGAAGCTACTGTCCTTATCTGCAGCGAAAGCGCAGGCGGATTCCTGTTGTTGGATCATCTGATGCAATCAAGTTTAAGCGACGAGTGATGATGATGAGGAGGATTTGAGTTTTTGCTGTTTGAGTCAGCTCTGGCGCTGAAATGGAACAAAGTGCCCACAGTGACGACATTGATCTGGAATTGGATCTGAGCGCATCATCGATCGAAGACCTGGGAGGTGAAGTTAGTCGTCATCCTCATAGTTCCAGTTTCGTTTGTTTGGAGTTGATTGTTGACAGAGGAGCACAGCAGATGCAGGGGCAGAGCAGAGCAGGGATGTGATGAGGGAGCTCTGTTCAGGGTTAAGTCGCCACGATCCCTTGTTGTGGACTGAAGTTTGATTTCTTGGGGGAATTGTTTGGACAGCAGTTGTGCATGAGATTGCGCAGTCTTTTGCCTTCCAGGAGTTTAGGTTTTAGCACAGGCGACCGAAGTGCAATGCGGAGGATGTGTTATTACCGACAGGAGCGTTATAATTCTTTGAGGATACTGAATTGGAAAGTTGACCGATCGGAACGTGGAACAGAATCAACATTCAGGATTCTACTGGGATAACACGTTGTCGCCGAGGCCCTGCATCTCAGAGCGCTCAGCACTTCAGCGAATAAAGGTCTAAGGATTAAAGCATTGGACTTGCCAGTCGAATGTTCCTGTCAAATTTCCGGGTTTTGCTCTGAGAGCGGACAGACAGACATCTGATGCAGATTTTGTAGGTTCAAGTAGTTTGTCAACATGGCGGATGGTTCAGGCAACGATATGGATTCCCTGTTTGAAGGCATGGACTTTGTCATGACTGGAGCATTGGAGGATGCGAGCGATCCTCCTGCCGATGGGCTCCAGAATGACTCCAAACATACATTGAAAGAGAAATTAGGCCAGAATGGATCAGCAGCTGTACCCGCTACACTGGTCCCAACATTGACTTCAGCAGCATTACCTGCAACCCGTTCTAGCTCGTCATCTTCATTGACTTCCCTGCCTTCTCTAGCACGAAGTATCTCTGGTTCCCTTGCCCCTGGCGGTCAATTGTCACCTCCTGCCCATGGAGGCTTGCAGAGAGATCCTAGTAAACCTTTAGACGAAACCCTGTTTAGTGGTCTCAATGTGTCCTTCATGGATGACGAAGGCAGTATGCAATTGCAGTTCGCAGTGCCTGAAAGTCAGACGGATGGTGCTAGTCAAACATCCGTAGGTAGTGCCCACCATGGGAGAACGGACTCCTACGATGGAAAGTCAGCAGGTGAAAAGGCTGGTAATGCTGAGAAAGAAAGGCCAACTGTGGAGTCTATAATGACCGCCTATATTAATGTGGGACCAACTTCTTCATTCAAGCATTCTTCTTCAGGTAAGGCACTAACTTCCAAAGGGGCTTCTTCGTTGACACAATCTCCTTCGCAAAAACCAGGCATGCGGAGGAAGAAAAGAAGCATGAAGATTGGTTATGCAAGGGAGGAAGAGGAACAGGAGGAATTGTCTTTGAGAAAGAACACAGTTCGAGATAAAATTACAGGAGCGGCTGCAGGCAAGGAAATTGTGAATGGCATCTTCGACTCCAGTCCTAGACAGTCCGTTTCGAGTCACGGGCTTTCCAGGGCGAGCAGTCAAGGGCAGTTGGATGTAGATGAGTTCTCTGAAGTTGCGGAGGACGAGAGTTCGTTGGCAGACACTGCTTTATCTGGTAGGCCAGACGGTGAAGTGGATTCTTCCGCCAAAGCGCCTGTGTCACAAAGTAACTCCCCGGACATTGTTTCAAAATCTGTTGCGGCTGCCAGTCTTGACGAAGACAAACTTCAGCCCAAGACTGTGGAGTCAGAAGATATCGATCGCGTCAGTGTTACGCAGGAGGCTGTACCAAATGCTGCCCATGAAATGGGGAAAGATCAGGAAGCTCCAGGTAATGCGCTTCCGAATTCGACTACTGTAGATAGGGAGGAAACCGGTGTGGAGAAATCTAGTGACAACATCCCGCCCGAAGAGACTGTTAGCGAAGCAGATAGAGGAGAGTCGGATGGCAATTCTTTAACAGTTCAGACAGCGGTGAAAGAAGTGGATGGAGGAGAAAACCCCTCATCCTTGGAAGAAAATCTGGACATTACATCCCTGGCTGCAAAAAAGACTGGTACAATTGAGGAGAGGCTGCAGTATGTACAGGAATTAGTGGCTCGTGAAATGACAGTACTGCAAGGGAGGAATTCTGTAGTATCGGCCTTGCGGAAAGCTGCTGTGCAAGATAGAAGACAGGCTGCAGAGAGGGCCTCTGCAGCTTCCACAAGGTGTAAGAATCTGGAAGCTGAGCTCAATGCAGCTTGCGAAAATGAGGATTTTGAGAAAGCGGATGCACTTAGTGAAAGTGTTGCTGAGGCCGAGAATGCCATGCATCAGGCTACAGAAGACTTCAAATTATCCGAAGCAAAGTGTGACTCAGCTGCCTCTAAAGTACAAGAGATTCTAGACTTGCAAGTGGCTACCGAAGAGGAAGGAGCTCGGATATTCGAGTTGCTGAAGCAGGTGCTGACCTTTTAGAACAAATGTGCGCTTATTAGCTTATCACGTTAACTGCCATAGAGTATGGTTGCCGTACAACTAAATCAAGACTAATTTTCAAAACTAAACTAAGATTGCATGACTATACTTGTACAAAACTTATTGCTATGTTGTCTTGGTAGATCTCACGCGGATCATTCCCTGGCTCCTCCCGGATGCTTTTGTGAAGTCCAGGTCCTTAGTTTTTGTGGTATCTCAAGAAACTCTATGGTGCCTTCGTCTCAGTCAGCTTATCCTGAAACGAATGTAAGTCATGTTATCATTGCTTCTGTTCCGACGTCATTCTTCTTGGATAGGGTGTCTTTTGTTGTTGCTGACTTCAACTCCGAGCCGCGGACCTTATTCTACACTATCCTACCTCTTTCTTCTCATGACCCTAGTGTAGCAAGTCTGATCGTGTTCCCCAACAAAGATGGTTGTGAAGCTGTGCATCAGCTCGCCAGTTTGTTGCTCTATCCACTAGGAATACTTCGGTGTGTTCGTGGCTCTTGGCGACCTGATAGCTGTCTTTGATTGGTCAATGCAGGAGGCTGAAGTTGCTGCAGATAGAGTTAGGACTGAAACCCAGGAAAAAGCCAGGCGAGAGATGGAGAGGCTGAGTGCAGATGAAGAAGCAGCGGAGGCTAGGAGGAGGAAGCTGTCACTGTCTCTGAGGATTATCGAGGAAGCAAACGCTGAACTTGATAAGGTTATAGGAGAAGGAACCAAGGAGGAAACTGAATTGAAAATGTCTTTGACGGAACATCGAAGTCAACTGCTTTCTGAGCTAGAGGAACTACTATCCCTAGTCAGGAAGAAAGAGGAAGAGATTTCTGATTATGATCAACGTATTCAAGCAGTCGACGAGAAGATGAGCAGTGTTGTTGCTAACTTTGAGACCCAACGAAGCAGTTTAGATGCGGAGTCTAAAGCCCTAGCGGTTTCTTCACTAGAGTTGGACGATGAGTTCAAACGAATAGCTGCAGAGAAACAGGGTGTCGATGAGTTGCTTGCTGAGGGCGAAAAAGAAAGTCTCAAGCTGGAAAGGGCCGCTAGGTCTGCTTTAGATGCCGGATGTGCTGTACAAGAAGCTCTGAAACTGAAGAAGGCGATAGCTACTACAACTTTTTTTTTCAAGGAGAAGAGGTCAGAGCTCGCAGAGAAAGAGAAGAAAGCTCTGGAAGAAATCCAGGCTCTTCGTGATGAGAGCCTCTCCGGTCGATCATCTCTTCAGGTCGGTGCTCACCTCTGCTGTCGATGTGATTGCATATGTGCCAGTGCTTTTTTCCTCTCAATGCGCCACGGCTGTATATGCTTGTTAACTTGCTTCGACTGATTCCTTGCTAGTGGGGGGAGATTGCAACGGGGTGTTTCTGGCTGACGTGGACGTTATTTTTTCAGGAGCTGACTACCATGAAGATGAAGCTAAATCAGGAGATTGGGGAGAAAAAGCAACTGATCCTTTTCGTGGAGAAGAGAACTCCCGAATTGGATTCTGAGAAGAAACTTGCAGCAGCGGCTCGAAATTTCAAAGAGGCTGGTCGGTTAGCAGCAGAAGCCAAGGCTCTCACTGCCGAGAAAGAGGCTGCCACAGCAGATATGACTAGAATGTTATCCGAGCTCCAAAATGTGGAAACAGAAGCTGATTTGAAACTCGGTGTTCTAGATGATATGGATAGGCTCATTTCAGAGAAGGAAAAAGAAGCCGCTATATCGCGCTGTGAGAGGCTTCGATTAATGGCTGCTGCGGCTAGAATGGAAAGGGATGCAGCCATTGAGCTGGAAGATTTTGAAGAGGCTGAAAGTTTAGACTCAGAAGCAGAGACTGCGGATCTTGAGGCTGAAGAACTGCAAAGAGTGTATGAGTTGGAAGGTGGAAAATTCGAGAAGCAAAGCAATTCCTTACTAACCTTCGTAGAGCAAATCAACGATATTACTCTTCAAACTGGGGCCAACCAAGCCACCTCAGCTGTGGAGGCACAAGTAAGTCAGACTGATTTGATGAAGATTGAGGAGGGTGCAACAGCTTGAGGCTTAGTGTGTTTTGGAATTAAGTCAATTGAAGGTTGACCAGGAAACTGGCATTGTACATTCATGTGATTCATGATCCCGTTGTCCTGAGTTGTTATTATAATCGGCTGGCATGTTCAAGCGCCGAATCCATCTCGTCTGCTTATCAAGCTGGTTGGCCATTAGAAAGATTGAGTCCTTATACAATTGTTGAGGAACATAGATTGTTCTTCTCAAATAAATGAAAAGATTTGACATCAAATATTAATATTAGAAATGATTGTAAGTTCAAGCGAGGCTTCATGGAAATGAGAGTTTGAAAGTCTTGCATTTTCCCATCCCCCTTTCAGACTGATCAAATCGACATGTAGAAAATTATCTAGCAAAGAAAGGTGCACATAATAATCAGGCAAGTAGGCTAACATGTTGGAAATCCGAACGAAAAAAAGTGGAACAAGCACACGAAGCTTTGATTCCATAAAATACACAGGGGCCGAAGACATCACCAATATATGTGATCACTCAGGTAGTTTCTGGTCACGTATGTATTACGATGTGAAGCTGGGAAAGCCTTCGAAGATTTCGTTACAGACGGCACAACACCTCACAACCTTTGTAACTACATTATCCCCACTGTCGTTTCGTCTTATGTCAAAGCCAAGTTTAAGTTTCTAGAAAAAGCTTCGGAGGACTCTAGTCTAGTGCAGTACTCTGCAACCGTGGTGTTCGTTTCGTTGAGCATTTCCTCGGTTGGCGATTCTGGATTTTGGTTTCTACAATGTACCTTAGTAAACAATGTCCACACGATCCAACGTGAATAATTTTATGAACCTCTATAGAAAACTTCAAGTCTGGTATACTCCTTTTTTACCTTTAACTATATATATTGTATACAATCTTTAGATTTTGGTTGTATACAATCCTTAGATGTACATCTAAGGAACCAAAAAATCTCAAACTTGGTTTGATCAGCACAATTCCGAGAAACTTCTTTCTTGAGGAACTCTAGTTCAGTATGTTTAGACTGCTTTCACTAGTTGAACATTGTTCATAGTGATCTAAAGATACTGAACACTTTGAACTTTCACCAAATACAGCCGACATACCTTTCGAAAAGGAGTGTGAGGAATCTGAAACGGGTCATTGTTTAGTATAAAAAATTTGTTGTAGAGATGAGTGCCAGTTGGCTGATGAGAGAAAAAGTCATGCAAAGTTTACAGTAATAACATGGTCGGTACTTCATTTTCACTATCACAGCCAGAGTTTGTACTTCATCTTACTGGAGGGGATCTGCTGTTGGACTAGGGGGACTGTTGTTACACTAATGTTACCAGCGATTCCACATCCACAAATGAACAATCACAGATATCGATATTGCAGATTGTTCACCCGAGTACTGGACGTCCCTTGATTGATTGATTTATCCGAAGTGTCAAGTTTTCCTGGTAAGACGAAGGCTCTTTTGGTTGATGGAGTGAGTCAAAATGGGAGCATCGATATTCTTACTAAAAAATCATTTGGATCAAAGAGCATTTACTGAGCGATATCTTAAACTACTACTATCATCGATATTCAGACCCTAGAGAGGGCACCTCTTGCCTCAATGAAACATGAAGAATTTCCTAGAAATATCTATACCATGTAGAACATATTCGTTACAGCTGTTGCGTTTCCACGTCAAATTCCTCATGGAATAAGTTCAGGGCTCCATGTGATTGCCTCTCATTCCACAGTCAAAAGAAAGTAGGAAAATGGCTTCTTGACCCTGTCCCACTACTTCACACTGTTCCATCATTTTCTAGGATTGAAAATTGTTGATGTCCTTGACAAAGAGTTGGTTATAGTTGTAGCACTATTTGAATGCTTAGCATCAAGTCAGGTGTTAATGTGACGCTAAAGCTCGGGTAAAACTGTCGGACAGCCACTCTCTCCAGATCCTAATCATAGTCTCTGCCTCACTCCTCTTACCTCTTCGCAGCCTCCATGGGAAGACAACACGCTCGTGTTCATACGTGTTCACTGTGAGAACATTTCAGCTCGGCCTGATGGTAACAGATGCAGCTCTCAAGTCGTTTTTGTTTTTTTATTTATCAATCACATTTCGTTGCATGATTGAACAAGATTCACCTCCTATGGATTCATTCAATTTAGAGGGTTGCAGCGAACTCAATCTAGACGAGACATTCCAAGTTAAAGTCAAGTTTTGATAATATCACATAACCCATTACACGGAGGTTCATTCTTATCCGCCTGTAATTTCCAACTTTGGTCAGAGATTATGAGCTTATGTTGGAGAAGGGGCAAAAGTGTTTCCAGTGAGAAAATTATCAAAATCCAACTTTCTCAATTCTTCGACTGGACCACCGGCCTTCGTAATAGTAGGCAAGGGGCTATTCCTGCAGACCAACATGTGCAGTATATTAAGAAAATAAGCTGCAGCTGCACATCCGTCACATGCTCATTTATCAGGAGTGCTCCATCTGCAGAATAGGCCAGAATGAACTCCATGGCATGTACAGAGGAACATGCGGTGCAGAATACTGGTATGAAAGTGGGAAAGGTCATCGATCAGAACTTGCTACAACACGATCAGAATCAGAATAATGGTTCAATCATCGAAACTTCGAGGCAATGCGGCGACTCCACTGTGAGAATATGATGAATATGATCAGTGAGGCCAAACGCATTACGAGGGGACAAGGTCCCCACCAAGTGAGTTACAGTCTTTGTCATGACTGGGCGGGCAGAATATCGTTATTCAAGTTCGATCACTGTCCACGGGCGGTACTATTCACATGACCTTCTTCGGATTCGAGGAATCCATGTCATTACCAAGTTGTCTCTAGCATTTGTGACGTGAATAAACGTTGCCCTGCAGAGTCAAAATGGAAAAAGAATTTAGTAATGCATGCTAGCACTCTTGCAAGCCAGAGAAGAGCAAGTGCACAGTGCGAGAGGAATACGAGAAAGCATGGAGATTCACTTTGTCGCATCTATTATTGGGCTGCATCCTGATTTCAAGTAGGGATAAAGAATTCGTTACACACGAGGAGGTAAGTTCAGACAGGAAGACCCCAAAACCAGGTCCACATGAGAATTTCCGCGAAGGAGGAGAATTTTCTTTGACACCCAACAAGTTAAGTTCGTTATCTATCTGATCCTCTTACTGCGTGCTCTGCGTGCTTGGAGCGTTTGTAGGACAAACGACAATGCCGTTTCGACTGTCTCTCGCTAGGCTTTTAGGTCACACTCGAGCCGCTGTTCCTATGCTGTTCAACTTTTCCGAATTTCCACACTGGTGCCTAAATCCGAGACATGGGTCGGCGTTGTGATCCTCTCTTTCCGAGTTTGGTGTCCTCAGCGGTCGAAGCAAGCTTTTGAGCATCGATGTGTGATGCGGTCTTTTCCTTCACCAAGTGCAGAGCGGAAGTGGCCAAAGATACATTCGAGCACATTTCAAGCGCGGACTTGGTTTTCATGCCCTACCATGGTTGGCTTCTGCGCCACATACTTTTTTATATGCCCTTGTGTGCTTCTCCACCACATACTCGACGGCCCTGCTGCAGCACGAAGAGCATTTTTCGAAGTCGTTGCAGATTGTGATGGATTAGACCGTAAATCTTGCTCTCGTAGATGTGTGTATGACGTAGAGGCTTGAACCAGGATACACTCGCAAATAGTCTGAAAACATTTGGGCCCCTCATCTGGAAGATGGCTCAGAACTCATCATAACAAGAAAATGACATCAATATATGTCATGCGATTCATCTAGAAGACCCGTATTAGGAAATATTCCATGCTGCCCAAGTACCACATGATTATGATACAAATCTTACACGTTTACGCCTTTCTCACTAATGATTGGCAGATTCAAAAAGTAGTTGATGCCTCTCATTTGCTTGCAAGCGAGAGATCAATTGCTTTGACTTTTCTTCACAGCAGACATTTGCTATTATTTAGTTCACAGAATGTAACTGTGAACTCCAGGATACTTCAAAACGAAATGCCCGACAAATCAAAACATGCTAAAACCATTTTCGATGTTATTATTGGCCTAGAATCAAAAAATTTTTATATCATGAAAATAAAATAATTTTATTCATTTTGTAAGTCTTATCTTAAAGTCAAATTGTAAACATGACTATTTTTCTAAGAACTTGTAAATAAACTAAATTCAGCATGCTTCAATCATCCATGGAAGAACAATACATTCAACGCTGACAGGTAGGTTTTATTTTCCTTTTACATAAGAAATCGATTATTCATTTACAACCCTTCTTGAGAAGCAGTTTTCATGAATGGCCCTTTTTGAGAAGACTTGTGAAGAAAATGACTATAATATTTACCTTGCTTCTGGAGAAGCAGTTTGAATGAAAAAAATATTTGAGAGAAGATTCGTGAAGCAGTCTAAAATACCTTGCTTCTTTGGAAGCAGTTGACTATCTGAAAATATGGAATAAATAATTAAAGTATAAGTTAAACTATCCATATACAGTCAACATCGGATAATGAACTGTTCTGAAAGCAAACTTAAATGCAATATAATATTTAATATGTACTAAAAAACTATTTAATAGTAGATATGTACTAAAAGACTACATATTCATGTACAGATATCATATAATCCGCTATGTTGATAGGAACAAAATATACCCTTAGATAAAAAACTGAAAACAATATCATCAGTACAAAGCAGACGCCCACAAAACTTGAAAACTTAAATTCCAATCCTATGACCCCCAAAATTAAGAAGAGCTAAGCTTTGTCCAAAGATAGATCAGTCTGCGTCCAGGAAAACAATAATTTTCACTATCTCAAAGACCAAAGCACATTATGATACAATGCAACTGAAGTTTCCACAATACGCACAAGAACGGTGATCTACTTTGAAATATGGGTTGATGTAAAAGTCCATGTAAAAGTTGCACATTTAAGGTAGGCTCCTTCCAGAATATGCCATGTGTAGCCCATGATTGTGTGAGTCACCGTAGTCTAACTATTTCAATTCGATGGAATCTCTGCCGTTTAAAGCAAAGAGCAAATGAACATGCGATGTTAGAAAGAACCTCCCTAGACTCTAGCCTTGCACAGAGGTACCGTCTAATCTCCTTGTTTGTCCCTTTCAACATCTGAAGATGGAACTTACTCATTTGAGGCTGATTCGAACAGATGGACGGTGGCTCTTACATGCTATAAAGAGATGCATGCCCTCTAGTGGTATAAGTTCCTGTAAGACGAAGTTCTTTACTATGAGGTAGCTCGTGGGCAAATTATTTTCCGAACTCCAGCGTTTACTTGCAAGGTAGAGGGCTCCAAATTACGTGTAAGTTATACCCATAAAACGTTCGACATGGGTAAGATCCGAGAACATGTTTTCAGGTTTCGCTCTTTGGACTCTCACGATGGACATGTACACTCATATGAAAGGCGATACTGCAGGCAAGGATGTCTCATCAACAGTCGAGACTTGAGAGACGTCCCCGACGACCAGGAGGAACTTTGAGTTGAAACGGTCAACCTCGACAAACGAGCTCGCGATGTTATTCAAGTCTAGGTTTCGTCGCGGATTAGCATGGGCCTTACTTTGGTAAAAATACTCATGACACTCGATCTTTCTAAAATTTTGTTTCCTTTTGTCAACTCGATATGGGAAAACCGACTTGTGTTTGTGTAACGTAACCCATGCCGCACCCTCTACGACTGGCCCGGGGCCCAGGCTCATGTGATGGTGAAGGGAAAGTAGCTGCCATTATTTATACACTGTCCCAATCAAAGTAATTGTGAACACCGGGCCCAGTCAAGCCTCACTGGGGAAGCATCAAATCTTATCCAGGAGGAACTCAGTGGAAACACGAATGGGACCTAAAAACCTTGTTGGATGCAACGAGATTTCAGTTTCACCTCCAGGTCGATGATAATCTAAGAGACTCCGGATTGCCCGTCACTTCCCATGCGTGCACATTCGGAATCTGACAAAACCTCGAACAGAATAGGTGTGGGAAGGGGAAGGAGATGGAATCAAGGAGAGGGTACGCTGTCACTTACCTGGTACGGAGACGCTGTTCTCCCCTTTGGCTGGGTGAGGAAACCCTAACGAAACTCCAGACAAAGCCCGGCCCGTCCGGCCCACAGTGAAGGATTTGCCTCTAGCGTAGTGCCTGCGATCGACAGACCTTTTGTCGTCCGAAATTCCATCACCATCATTTGGCGCCGACTCCTTGTTTATAGCAGAATGGCAATCCCTAAACGAGTCTAGCGAATGAGCTAAATGAGATTAACGCTCGTAGGCACTGGAATATCATTCGGTACAATACAGTGGTAGAGGTGTTATGGTCTGGGCCCTCGGCCGGCCACTGCGAGAGCTCGAGCCTTGAAGGGAGGGTCATGTGAGAGAATGGCGAGAGGGGGAGACCGAGGCCGATGGAACAGAAACTCAGAGCTGGCAGACCGCTGTCGGGAGATCAGAGAGAGCTCGTAGCGTCGTGAGAACCCGGCCATAAAGTGGAGGAGTAATGGAGTCGAGAGCTCGACGGATGCCATGAAGGAGGAGAGAATGAATGAATGAACAGCGATCGTAGTTATGAACGATCGCGGCCGCCAAGGAAGGATCCATCATCCGGCCCCCCGGTGAGTGCCCTTCATCATTTGTACGGTAGCGCTGGATAAAGGCTCGGCGAATCATTGTGCTTCTCTATTCCGAATTCCTCCAACCGGAGAATGATTCTTCGCCCCGTCTTTTCGGGCGACGCCCATGTCCATGTCCATGTCGCTCTGTCCTTCGGCTCAGCCCACAACGCAAAGCCCCTGCCCCTTCATTTCCTCTCGACACCTCCTCACACTCCAGACCTCAGCGTCCTTGCCTTCTTCCGAGCCCTCCCATTTCGTAAGCGGTTGAATGTGAAGCGAGCCCTGGGACGCATATAGTATTTGACTTTATTATAGTAAACTAATTATCGAATTGCATTGATTATTATGTGAGCAAATTGGACCCTCCCTCTGTCTTTTGTCTCCATTTGAGATTTTTGAAGCTTATCTCAATACTTCAAGTGCAACCGAGACTTCCCTCTGCACCAGACCAAGTGGCTTGATGACGGAAACCACAACTTGATACATGATTCTAGTTGGCTGCACAGGCATTTCATACGTGAAAACAAAAGATTGTCGACGTAAATACGTCATCGAAAAGCATGTAGGACAATTTCGAGCTGTAAAAGTATTTTGCGACTGCTGCATGTACTATCATGCCAACGTGACGGATAAATAAACTTAAACGAACATAATGCCAAGGCTGGGAGATGGGACATTATTTGACTCAGTGGAGAGTAAATGACAGCAGATGCGTACACTCGTAGCCGTGCGACCCGAGTACGATATCTACAGTACAGTACTTACATCAGTACCAATCTCTAATGTAGTACGGTAATACGTTCCCGTCGGCATTTGGGATTTATAATTTACAAAAGCACTCCCATCAATTTCCCTGTAGACACGGACATTTCCTTTTTTAGAGCACGGACCAGTCACATCGAAACTATTACTTGCTAGGTTCAATACAAGGCAAACAGATAAAAAATTACCAATCACGGTTGTTTAATTGTTATTAAATAACACAGTGGTTCATTTTCCGGATAGGAAGGGTTTACTTTCCAACAGTCAGCCTTGACTCTGCAGATCCTTGCAATGCCTTGCATTGCATCCAACTTGAAAGTTCTCTCTTGACTCAAGTGGATTTTGCAAAATTAACAGTTTCCTGGAAAAAAATTAAGATGCTGCATTCACAAGCATTTATAACGAAACAGATATATTTTGGCAAATAACTGATACTTGTATCCCTTAAAACTAAAGAATCATGGAAGTCTTGTTGATTTGTTTCATGATAATAACAAATCAGTCCGATATTAGAAAAAAAAAAATTACTTGAAATCTCGAATGATACCACTAAACCCCTTAACCTTGATCGAATTTCAATGTCAGTTTTAAATTCATTACCTGTTATATTGTTTCATTAAATTTTCATTCCAAAGATTTTCCAATAACATATAAGTTTAATTCAAAAAAAATTTAAATATTCAAGATAGTACAATAATATATCAAACCATGATGCTAAAATATTTCTTCCTTTAAAAAATAGATATATTGAGATTTATTTTAAAATTCATCTTATAAAAATATTTCTTTTGAAATGAAAGAAAATTAATGTACAAGCCAATGCATTCACAACAAATCTAATTTTTAAAGATCCATCTAATGATTTAATATTTCCACTTAAAAAAAATTTGATTTAGAATTTTATATATTAAGGAATTTTCTCATATCATGTAATTGTAAAAGAAATTATACATTAGATTCATATGTTAGTCTCATCAGGTATTTTACAAATGTTAAAGTCTTGAATGATTTGAATAGTTATAAGATTGCTCAAATGTCAATACAAGAATAACAACTGACAAATTAATATTTTCATTGACAAATTTTGAATTTGAACATAATATATCCCAAAAAGATTAATCATACTAAGTATTAGATTATCTGCCAAATTTGATATAAGTCTCAAATTGAAATTAAAATTATAGTCAAGTTTGAAATTAAGGTTGAAAGTTAGAGCAGGAAAAAAAAACATATATATATATATATATATACATACATACATGTGTGTGTGTGTTTTCATAGGGAGTGGCTAGTTATCTCTTACTTTGGACTAATTAGCCCTCACCCTAGTATACGATACACCAAGATTGATCCAAAGTTACAAGTGTCAGTGGTTTAAGTTAATGGATCTTCTAACATGGCTGACCTCCTCGCAAGCCACTCTACCCCGCTGCTGTGAACTGCCCGCAACTCGACTAGTATTCATGCTGGTCTGATATGACCGAATGCCTGCGGAGTCTGTTTCTTTCCATGATCTCAGTTGCAGTTGAGAACCAGAAGGGAGGAAGACATAACGCCATCACCTGCACAACTCCAGCTCTCGTTGTAGATGACAATTTGATGCACACAGTGCTTTCATCGTAACGTTGAAGTCCGCTAATCCATTCACGCAAGAAGCTTAATCCCACCGATCCAAAGCTGGATTCTTGCTAATTTTCCGATTCAATTCATTTTTCGTCCATTATGTTCATCCATCCCCACATTATGCGGCCCCTGAGTCCGTTCTATTATGTCGAGGTTATCATTAAATGCAAATCATGCATGCTCCCACCGGGTCCTTGCCATCGGGTTTGGGTCTACATCAGCCGGTCTAACGTGGAAGTTCTCCCGCTAATAACATTAGGATAGATTCTGATTATCCAGTGCAATCTAAGATGAATTGTGGATCAGTTTGTAATTTGTGGCAAGCATAGCGTGATGCTTGTAATTTATCCTGATTATCATCTTGAATCTTATGAACAGAAATTCATGTAAGAGTTCGAATTTGACTTCTCTATTTTGATATCATTGCAATCAACATTCAAGCCAGCAGCAGCCGCAACCATTCGGTCAAATCAAACTAGCCAAGCCGAGGTGCGGCCGAGTTGCGTGTAGTCCACAACAACGGGGTACAGTGGCATGCGAGGAGGCTAGCCATGTTAGAAGAGCCATAAATCTAACTCACAGACAACTATAACTTTTGATCACTTCTGGTAGATTGTATACTAGGGTGAGGGCTAATTAGCCCAAAGTGAGAAATAACTAGACACTCCCATCTTCATATTTTTATTTTGATTAAATCATGATTATAATCATATTATAAGTTTGATTTATGTAAAAATTAACTATGTAATATTAAGAATCAAAATTAAAGCTCTCTCAGAGGTAAAACATAGTATTTAAAGATGAAGAATTTCTATGATGGTTCTTCTTTTCATTGAAAAAATATATTCAACATAGATAAGGAGATGAAATCATGTCATCAATCCACTCTTAATGAATTGATGACATTCCGGATATATGTAACATACGTATAGTTGATGTCATTTTCAACTATATTTAATAAAGTAGCACACAGATTATTTAAGTGTTGTTAAATAACACGTATTTTTACTCTATCATGCGCAATAATGATTGATGTGACAATTATAATTGATACATTGTAAGTCAAAATATTATTTTTAAGTAATTTTTATTTTAACTCTAACTAATCAAAGATGGTTATATTTGAAAAATATATAAATTGATTGTTGTTGTGCACAAGTGCTTTGACTCAACAGGTCTTAATGATGTCCGCCAAGTTTTATTGATTCCAAGGATTGTTTTTAGATTGTCCAACTGATGGTAGTAGCACTAGTTCGACAAAAATTAATGTGGCAATCTTTGACTATTCTTATAGGCTAGTTTTTGGGCCTTGTATCAAATGCATCTGATAGAAAAACAGTTGTGAGATATTTAGATTAACTCCTTGGTCTCATAATAGTTAGTTTTTCTAGAATCATATGTGTGAGGTGGAGAGATCATACTCCATAGATGTGTCATCGCAAGGTTTGTCAACGTGATTCATATAGATTCTCCCTTGGCAAGTGCAATCCAAGAATCTTCATGCTTGTACATTCATTTTCATTCATTGTAGTAAAACTATAGGAAATTATTGCATAACTCTTTTTTGTTATTTCTTGTTGAAGTAGGAAATTCTGTTTTCTTGATTGCAATTTCCACTTTGACAATCTCCGAGCTGATTTCATTTTAATTCAAAGGAATGATTACATTGGTTTGAAAACAGACATTTTTTTAGCACGGGGTGAAGAAATACAAGCCAAATTTTGAAATTGTGTGATGAGAAAAATTTTGACAATCAACAACAATTCCAAGCTTTGGAAAAAGCTAGCAAAGCCTGTTTTTCAAATATATACGTCTTGCTAGTATTAGTGAAATTTTTGATTCAACATACTTCAGCAAAAACTACTCCATCAAGCTTGCTGTCATCTTTAGCACGAGCATTGCAATTCAGAACCACCTATCATGTTCACACTTAAGTATATACTTTAGTGAGCATAGTACTGCTACTTTACCAAAAATTCCACCTTATATGTAGTTGAGAAATGATACACTACCTTTTACTCCAAGTTCATTAGGTTAAGGCTTTTCTAATCAATAATTACAGCTTGTTTCTCCGACCTCGTCTTTTGGCAGCGTTTTTGCTAGAAGCTTCAATTCAAATTCAGCTTACTTTACTTTAGGATTTGACCAAGGTGTTCAACCAAATGCAAAAACATGAACGATACCTCATTCTGTAGCCACTTTGTTGTCAATCATTTACTCTACACAACAAGTTACACCTATGCCGTCAATTTACATCATGGATGTTAGCAGCTCATATGGCATGATGAAAAAGTTCTATGAAAGATCGGTCATTGTTTCCTTTACAAGAATTCAAAGCTACATTCACAACAGTGGTTCATGAGCTCAAACTGAAGTATGATAACAATTACACATTGAACTTTACCTTCAAACAATTGGTCAAGTACGTGCTATATGAGAAATTAGATGTCTATGAGCAACATGGAACTCACCTTTCAGACATCAAGCAGATTTCCATACTAAATTATGCTGGAGCAATTGCCACAACCTCGCAAAATGCTTTGCAGATTGCAATCAAACATACAATGACGTGGAGAACAATCAATAGTAAATGCTCATCATCGTGGCAATCACTCTTGAGCAATTAATCACAATTACGGCTCAAGTTTATGGTCTCATTCGAATGTCATATACAAAAGATCTTGTGGATAAATTTTCAAGATTCTTGAGCTAGAATTTCCGATCAAGAGTTTTGAGAAAATTTTACAATTGGCTACCTTCACACGGAAAAAGAACAAAACCTTTAAGATGCTCT